GTGTTCTGGGGCGGCCATTGCTGTGCTGCTCTCCTGCTGCTTCTCAGATGGAGTGGACATGGAGTGTTTGGGGTACTTGTTTCATGCTGGGCAGCAGGGGTTGTTTTCACCTAGAAGGAAAATAACATAAAATGTAAGTGGAGAAGCAAGTGGTTATCACTGTCCAGGACTGACCTTGTTTGGAGAGCTGTGAGGACAAGGTAGTCAGTATATCAGAAACAGCAATTTGGGACTTTACCCATTGAAGAAAGTAGTGATTTTTGTACCTCTAAGAACTACAGTGGAAACTGGGTGCTGAGATCTAAGAATTGCAGTTCAAAGCCCAGATGGGGCAGGAAAGTCCATGAGACTCTTACTCCAGTTAACCACCAGCAAACCAGAAGTGGTGTGATTGAAAGTAGCAGAGTGCTAGCCTTGAACCAAAGAGCTCAGGGACCAGGCTCAGGCCCTGAGTTCTAACCCTGTAACTGAACAACAACAACAACAAAGAATTAGCTTGGAAACAGTACTCACAGTACCCAGCTCTTGTGTCCAATCTGAGCATTCCTTCCCTGAAAGTGCATTTCATTGCATACTAAGTCTTACGGCACTGGAGGTTGATTCCATGCCCTTGATCTATACCCCAAACTCCTATACTTCTGTTATTGATGAATGTTATGATTTATGTAGGTTGTGTGTGTGTGTGTGCCAGTCCTAGGGCATGCACTCAAAGCCTGGGCACTGAGCTTTTGTGCTGAAGGTTAGTGCTCTATCAGTTGAGCCAGGCCTTTTGGTGTTAATTGGATATAAGATTCTCTCAGACTTTCCTGACTGGGCTGGCTTTGAATTGTGATCCTCAGATCTCAGCCTCCTCAATAGTACGAGTGAGTTATGGGCATCCAGCTTTTATATGTTTGTTTGTTTTTTTAATTAAATTTTAGGCTTTCTTTCCCCTTATACCTCCTTCTAGAAGCTGCTTTTCTAGAAGCTGCTTTTCTTGAAAGATTTAGTGCTTTTACAGTCCTGGGAACTGAACCCAGAGCCTGGCATATGCTAAGCAGCCCAAGCTCTGTATTTCTCATACTGCAGTGATTCACAAACCTCTGTGAATTTTGCCACGAGTATACTGCCTACTCTATCGTTTGCTTAATACTTTCTCCCCCCACCCCCTTCAGTCATGGGGCTGAGTGCTGCCCCTCAGCTCTGCAACGCAAGGCTAGCTAGCACTCTACCACTTGAGCCACAGTGCCCCTTCCAGCTGTGGTGCTGAGGCATCTAACCCAGGGCCTCATGCATGTGAGGTAAGCATTCTACCACTGAGCCACCTTCCTAACCCCTTAAAACTTTCTTTTAAGAATGACTTTAAGGGGTCGGGAAGGTGGCTCAGTGGTTGAGTGCTTGCTTAGCATGCATAAAGCCCTGGGTTCAATTCCTCAGTACCACATAAACAGAAAAAGCCATTAGTGGCACTGTGGCTCAAGTAGTAGAGTACTAGCCTTGAGCAAAAGAAGCTCAGAGACAGTGCCAGGCCCTGAGTTCAAGCCCCAGGATTAGCTAAAATAAAATTACAAATTGCTCTCTGACTTCCTTTACTACCTTACCTTGCAATCCTTCTGATAGTGGCAGGGTATTTTGTTATCCCATACTGGCTGACAGTGATGAAAATCATGCAGTATAAAATGAATTTTTAAATGCCCTACAGGGATGAAGAGTAGGCTTGTTTTACCAAATGAAGTGTCTTTTAAAATCTCTTGTCTGTGACAATGAGTATACGATTGAATGGTTCTCTTTAGGAGCCTTGAAATTGAGTTACGTCCTACCATGCATCCATGTACCTGTAGCAGAATACTGAATCCACTTAGTTATACACAGAATCAACTAGCTGAAATGTCATTTATGCCTAATGAGTATTACTGCTTCTGAATTCTCAGCAGTAATTATTAGTTTTGTGATTAGAAAACATGTATGTGGTCAGATGTGGTGGTGCACGCCTGTAATCCCAGCATTCAAGAGGCAGTGGTCAAGAGGGTCTGGACTTTGGGGCCATCCTGGGCTACATAGCAGGACCCCTGTCTCAGAGAAAAGAATGAAACCTGTGTAGGCATTTGCGGGTTCATACTTTATAGATACTTTGTTGTAGGATTTTGTTCCTTAAGGGTCTGATTGCTACAAGCCTTTTTAAGGCTTAAGTTACATCTCTGCCTAGAGAAGCTATTTAAAACACCACGTTCTGTATATTGTGATGGCTCTGCTTCCTCAGTGAGAAAAGGAATGGAAAGGAAGCCGGCCAAATGCCAACTGGCTTCAGGCGGTGCAGGGGCCGGGTTGGAAGCTATTGAGTGAGTGCTCTGTGATAAAGGGACCTTTTCTCGGAATTGCTTCTAGAAGGCCCTACAGAAACATATTCACAGGTGGAATAGGAAGTCTGTGGCGGCCACCCGGGACTTGTCAGGTGCTGAGCGTCGAGCACCAAGCACCAAGGCAGGCACTGCCAGCCATGGACTGCTCCAAACTCTAGTGTGTTGTCTTTTTTGTTTGTTTGTTTTAAACCAGAGCATTTATTGTATGGTTAATCTTTTAAATTCTCAAGATGAACCGACGCTGCAACAGCTGCTCTCTTGGGTTTAGGTGTTGTTCCTGCACAGGATCCATGCCTGAATCTGCCATAGACAATTGTTCGGTGCCTCGTCCCACCTGTCCCGGTAGTATTGGTAGTAGTTCGTCTCTTAGCCTTGGCACTCCAGTTACACTTTCTCTTGCGTTTTGCAGGCTAGCCACATTTGGTACACGTCACCTTCTGAAGGTGGCAGGCCTTGGAACCACAGCAGCAGCACAACGTGTGCGTCTTATTGCAATGCTTTCCAAAGGATGACGTTCCCTTCGTCATCTTGCCTCTGCCGCCAAGACCAAAGAGTAGTGTGTTGTTTTTATTCCACTCAGAGCCTGCTCAGAGCCCCCTGTGGAAATGGAATGAGGAATGAGGTTTAAGAACCGAAGTAAACATCTCCGTTAAGGGCAGGGTAACGGAACATCCGGGTTTGCCCAGGACCATCCCAGTTTATACCTTTGGTTCTGGGTTAATTATTACACTAGTGCCCCTTTGGTTCTTAAAAGTGTCCTGGGGTAGATGAGAGCTTTATGGTTATCCAGTTAAGACTGTTGTACAATGAAAATTTCCCTGAAGGGAGACACTTTGGTGGGGTGTTTTTTGTTGTTTGTTTTTGTTTTGTTGGCCATGGGGCTTAAACTCAGGGCCTTGGCACTGTCCCCAAGCTTTTTCATTCAAGGCTAGTACTCTACCAATTTGAGCCACAGCACCAACTTCTGGTTTTCTGATGGTTAGTTGGAGATAAGAGTCTCACTGACTTTCCTGCCTGGGCTAGCTTTGAACCATGATCCTCAAATCTCAGCCCCTTTCTCCCGCTTCTCCCCCCCTCCGCCCCCCCCCCCCCCCCCAGCTAGGATTACAAGTGTGAGCCACCAGCACCTGGCTCATTTGTTTGTTTGCTTTACCTTGTGAAAATATTACTCACCCAAAGGTAACTTTAACATTCAGCCTGAGTTCTAATTGTGATTTTTTTTTTGAGTACAGAGCTTTCTGAGTATGTTGCTTCATTTGCTTCCTTAATAAATTTGAGAATCAAATTTATGCCTAATGTTAAGAGTACTGGTTCCATAGTGATAATTAGGAAGTGAGGCCTATGAGGAGATTCGTGAGCATAATGTCTGTATTATAGTGTAAGTGTTAATGCTAATATGTCTGCCTAAGTACTTACTCTGCAACAGACCCTGTGCTTGGTACTAAAGGATAGAAATTAGTGATCTTTCTAAGAAGCTGACATAGAAGATCATGTCACCATCCACATAGTGAACCAGAGGTACTGTGGTACAGTTCAACTCTTCATTCATCCACGTTTGTGTCTGGCTGTTGCCGTGTTGTTGTGCGGTAACAGTAATCATAAAGCCACCTTGCCTGACACGGTGACAGGTATTGAGGACGTGAATGGGAAGAGTCAGCAGTGGCTTCCCTTGTAGATGCTTGTGTAGGCATGGCTTTTAGTTTTAAGCAATGAATTGATAAACACAACTTATTTTAGAACTTATCTTGCAACTGGATAGCACTTCATATTTTAAATCATTCAGTTACTGCAACAAGCATTTGTGCTGTGAGGGTCAGCATTTATGCATGTTTGAATTACTCAAATTTACCTGCAAATGCTCCTTTCCCTTCCTGTCCACTCCTGCCTTTGGCTTACCCCCATAAAAGTATTGGACTAAGAACAGTGGAGACTCCACCAGTGTAGTCCATGAGCAGGATTCGGATGGAGGATGGTGAGGCTGCATGTGATTCTAGTGTTTATCAATCATGTTGCTCATGCAATTTGGGTTCCTTGCTTGGTAAGAGAAACGCAGTGAAACCTGCTTTCACAATGTATTTGGGGAACTCTCTTGTGCTAGAAAGAGCATCCGTAACCCAGTTCTCAGTAAAGGGTGTAAAGGAGTCAGGTGGATAGACAGCAGTTGCCTATTCGAATGGCTAATATGCTCTGTCCCATAGCCCCATGAATGCAACCATTTTTGTCAGGCATCAAGTCCAGATTTGGGGTTCTAAAAACAAAACAACAACCACCACCAAAAAAAGGTGTCAGTGTCCTTAGAATATGAAGATGTGAAAGTGGTTTTCCCCATGAAGGATTCTTGGAAATACTGAATTGTAATTGAGTTGGTAGCTGGAGACAACTAAAAAGCAGAAGTGTTCAGACTAGCAGTTTGAGGTTCCTTTTTTACTTGATAGTTGGGCTGTGTGGCGCATGCCTGTCATTTTGGGGAGAAGGAAGACTTTTCTGTTACACTCTTTTGTAGCTCTTTTTGTTTTATACTTTTGTACTATTAGACACTTTTATATTTAGTATTTTGTAATCAGTGTAGAAGTGGACTTGGATTTGAGTTTTTGGTGAATTATGTTGTCCAAGTAATAGAGGAGTGTCCAAATTTGCTTTATTTTGGATTGTTTTCCAGATAGCAGACCCTACCTTAGCTGAAATGGGGAAAAACTTGAAAGAGGCGATGAAGATGCTAGAGAACAGTCAGAGGTGAGTGTGTGGGACAGAAGCCACCTGCTCAACGTGTCCAGCCTGTTCTGAAACTGGTGGCTCTGGTTTCCCTCTTTCAGGGACACCTCTAGACTCCAGAATGTCACACATAGCTTCTACTGAGGTGAAAATTGGTGTTTGTCTTGGGTTGAAGGAACTTTATAATTAGAGGATTTTGAAATGAGGGGAAGAACTTTGAAGTTTCAGTTCTGTCTGTAAAGAGTCTTACATAACACTGATTTGAATCTGTAAATAGTTCTTACTACAGATTCAGGTCATATTGAGTATCTAACCAAAAGTGGGTTGAAATGGTTTTGTCATGTTCTTTTTCTGAAACTCGATCCAAAACGGAGGCTGGAATGACGTTTCAAATCCTACACCAGTCACTCAGAGGTTCTAGGTCAGCTTGGCATGCTCACATGTTAGTAGTTTGACATGATAAAGTCAGTGACCCGTTTTTCTCCTCTTCCATTAGAAGACCAGAGGAAGAGAGTGGAAGGAAGCCGGCACCGGAAGACATCCCAGGACCACTCCAGGGCAGGCAAGTGGCAACGGAGATCAGTTACGGTGAAACCTTTTCTAATCCAAGACTTGCTACTGCTTGTTTACAAATTTAGTTTAATGAGAACAAATAAAATTTACCCAGTGCAGTGTTCAACAGAACATTGGAAAACTGAAATGCCATTGGGTGGTTGATTAATATGACTTAATATGACCCCACCACTCCAAAGCCATACACAAATTTGTGTTTATAACTGAAATATCACGCGTAATTCATCCTTGGACTTTAGGATCTTCTCAGTAGCCTGAGCTTTATTTTGACAGAAATTTCAATTAGATAAGACTTGTCATCTTTATAATATAGTAGATCAAAGTAAGATGTCAGCTGTAGTCATTGATTGTCAACTAAAGCAAATTAAGTCTGTGGTTTGAACTAACAGAGAACAATAAGTAGCTGGCTACAGGTTTTGCAGGATGCTAGCAGTTAATCTGAAGCTAAAATCCCACCCTAAGTCAAACTTATTTTCTCTTTTATAACCAGGAAACTGCACGTAGGTCAATAGTACAACTCCCTTAAATTGTTCTTTGACCTATATAGAAATTGTATAAAGTTGCAAAAGAAAAGTATGGAGGAAGTATCCTGGTGTACCAGGAAACATCCTATCTAAAATACCCGGATGCTAAGACCTTAACATACTCCTCCCACTTAGCATGAACCAGGCTGTCTCCATATGAAGTGTTTCTACAACTCAGTATAGGAAGCAAATCTTGTAAGACTCCTTACTGCAGGCCTGGAGGGACACAGGGTGGTAAAATTGGTTTGTTTTTGCCATTGCACAGCAGTTCCCCTAGAAGAGACACTCCCAGGAACATCTGAAACTCTCAGAATGGCAGCACATTTTTCACCCTTACAATGCTGAGCCCCAGTATTTGAGTCTAGTGATATGTTGATTGCATCTTCAACCGGCCTCTAAAGGCTTAACAAGTTTGGATAGCTAGCTCAAAGTCACAAGGCCAGCAGCAAAACGTGCCTTGACTTCCCTTCCCTACCCTAGTCCCACACTGTGTGAGGGCCAGAGCTGCTCTCACTGGAAGGTCAATGCCTTAAGGAATGGGTTTTTGAGCATTGTTCTGACAGTGATGCTCTGTTTGAAGATGAAAATTTTCTTAGTCATGTTCTGATCCATAGATATAGTGCTTTTACATTGCACATGTCACAAGTTGTGTTACCAGTGACCATTCTTACCTTGTTGGCCATTCATATTCTTCTAAGCAGAAGGAAGCTTGTGCAATGAGCAACTAGAAGCATGCCGTAGATGGAAGTATATGTAGGTAAAGCATATTACAGCTTTCCCAGCTTGGGGAAGAGCTGGTAAGAAATGTTTTCATTACCTGTCTAAAGCTATTAGTCCAAGCAGACAAGACTCCTCCATGGAGGAAAACAGATATGCCAGCAGCCTTAGAACGTTCTCACTGCCTTTGTGACCTTCTAGCATCTTAAGAGGTCTTTTGAGTCTTCTAACATGATTATTAAATATTCTCTGTTCAAATGAACTGGCATAGACATATTCTAGAGCAAAATGTGAAATTAAAAAAAAAATCTCATATTTAGGTAGAGTTAATTAATCATAAATAAAGCTAAATTCTGATTTGAGAGTTGACTTTTTTGTTCAAGTATAAACTATATATGAAAACACATTTCTTCCCCCTTGTAGTCAGCTCATTGCCCAAAGAAAGGAAAACTTCCACAAGTGCACTAGTTGGTGGTAGGAGTTGGGTTGCGTGCTCTCTTCAGCAGGCTGTTGACTTTCTGTTCTGCAGTGGACAGGACATGGTGAGCATCTTGCAGTTAGTGCAGAATCTGATGCACGGAGACGAAAGCGAGGAGCCCCTGAGCACACGGTAATGGAGAGGGCCAGCATGAGCCACCAGGCCTGGTCTGACCACTTCATCCTTAATCTGTTCTCTGTAGTTCCTTTTTTTCCCCCTGCAGTGCTAGAAATGGAACCCAGGGCTTTGATCATGGTAGAACCACTTAGTAATCTCCAGCCTCCCCTCTCTACTTCTTGAGGCTGGAATTTAGTTGTTAAAATATTGAAAAGAAAATTACTTTCAAGTAGTTTGGGCATATTCTGTAAAAAGAAAGATATAACATTCTTTTTTTTTTGGTCAGCCATGGGGCTTCAACTCAGGGCCTGAGCACTGTGTTCTTTTGCTCAAGGCTAGTGCTCTTTGAACCAGTGCTCTACTTCCAGTTTCCTAGTGGTTAATTGGAGATAAGAGTCTCATAGACTTTCCTGCCCAGGCTGGCTTCAAACTCTGATCCTCAGATCTCGCCTCCTGATTTACTAGGATTATAGGCCTGGGCCATCAGCACCTAGCTCTGCTGATAGGATTCTATTTTTTATTTTATTTTATTTACCTGTTTATTTTTGATGGTGTGGGGCTTGAACTCTGGGCCTGGGCGCTGTCCCTCAGCTCTTCTGTTCAAGGCTAGCACTCTACCACTTGAGCCACAATGCCACTTCCGGCTTTTTCTGCTTATGTGGTGCTGAGGACTCAAACCCAGGGCCTCATGTATGCAAGGCAAGCACTCTACCAACTGAGCCACCTTCCCAGCCCCAGGATTCTATTTTTTAAATATATTTTTCTCCTGACATTTTCAGTGTTTAATATGCATTGAATTTCTGAGTTTATATGAATTAATGCCTTATGAAAATTTGCATGGATTTCAAGTCTAACAAATTTCTGTGGAACACTATAGCTCCTTTTATGTTATTTGATTCTATTTTCTTAATGTAACAAATTTTAATGAACAGAGTCCAGAGTATTGGAGAACAAGGTCACATGGCTTTGCTGGGTCACAGTCTTGGAGCTTATATATCAACTCTGGACAAAGAAAAGCTGAGAAAACTAACAACTAGGATACTTTCCGATACCACCTTGTGGCTGTGCAGAATTTTCAGGTAAAGACATACGATGACATTCCACCTTCTGGTAAGATATTTGCCTCATTTGAAGGTTGCTTAAGCTCTTTGTGCGACTTGATCTTTGTGTATTAAGAGGGGAGATGGGCTGGGCGCCAGTGGCTCACGCCTGTCATCCTGACTACTCAGGAGGCTGAGATCTGAGGGTCATGGTTCAAAGCCAGCCCGGGCAGGAAAGTCCATGAGCCTCTTATCTCCAATAAACCACTCAGAAAACCGGAAGTGGCACTGTGGCTCAAGTGGCGCTAGCCTTGAGCTGAAGAGCTGAGGGACAGTGCCCAGGCCCAGAGTTCAAGCCCCATGCCTAACAACAACAAAAAAGAGGGAAGATGGTTACTATCTGCTTCATGGTGTTACAGGGCCAAGTGAGATCCTGCTCAATATAGGTAAGAACTGAGTGTAAAGGCACTGAAATGTTTGCTAGAGTCAGCCCCTTTTTTGGGGGAAAGGAGGGTCTTGAACTCAGCGCCCAGGCTCTGTCCTGAGCCTCTCTACACAAGGCTAGTACTCTACACTTGAGCCACAGCGCCACTTCCTGCTTTTCCTGAGTAGTTTATTGGAGATAAGAGTCTCATGGACTTTTCTGCCTGGGCTAGCTTTGAACCCCAATCCTCAATACTCAGCCTCCTGAGTAGCTAGGATTACTGGCCTGAGCCACTGGTGCCTGACACCCACACTTACTTTTAAGTGTTTGTTTTCCAAGTTTTGCACATTCATACAAGATAGAGCAAGGATCTAGATCAAATACCTTCAATCATCTTCCTCAGTCTCTAGGAGACTGAGTAAAAGGTCTCAAGAAAATTATAATAAAAGCAAGACTTGCTGGGTTGCCAGTGTCCCACACCTGTAATCCTGGCTGCTCAGGAGACTGAGATGTGAGGATCACAGTTTGAAGCCTGTTTGAGCAGGGAAGTCTATGACACTCTTTATCTTTAATTAACCTGCAAAAATCTGAAGTGGAGTTGTAAGCTAAGGGACAGTAGCCAAGCCCTGAGTTCAAGTCTCAGTACCAGCATTTTTTTTTTCTTTTTGGGTCCGGTCGTGGGGCCTGAACTCTGGGCCTGGGCGCTGTCCCTCAGCTCTTCAGCTCAAGGCTAGTGCTCTACTACTGGAGCCACAGCTCCACTTCCGGGTTTTTTTTTTTGCTTATGTGGTGCTGAGGAATAGAACCCAGGGCCTCATGCATACAAGGCAAGCGCTCTACCACTGAGCCACCTTCCCAGCCCCCCTGCCAGCATTTTAAAAAAAAAAAAAAGTATTTATTTTGAAGGTTTTAGGGCTGACACTGCCAACAGCCATACCTGCATCACCCATTCCTTCCTTTGTGTGGATTCTACTCTTGTATCTGGGACTCCAGGTGTTTGTTTCCTAGTTTCTGCTTTCTAGAGTTGAATGTGAGTGTCATGTCCTTACCTGTCTCCATTATAAAGTCTGCTGGAGTGAGTGGCCAGCAGCCCACTGAGTTGAGGGCGCCTCACACCCCAATCCTCCCTGCCTACTCTAGGAGATAGTTCCTCATTGAGAAGAGAATTGCTCTCATGTCTAACATTGGGATATAGTGGTCAGAACTAGCTAGAAGCAAGCAAGAGTACATTGATTTATGGGATCTCTTGATAGGTATGAAAATGGCTGTGCCTATTTCCATGAAGAAGAAAGAGAAGGACTCGCCAAGATCTGCAGGCTTGCCATTCATTCTCGATACGAAGACTTCGTCGTGGATGGATTCAATGTGTTATACAATAAAAAGCCCGTTATATACCTTAGTGCTGCTGCTAGACCTGGCCTGGGCCAGTACCTTTGTAATCAGGTAATATGATACAAACAGTGTTCAAATGTGGTTTGGCTTTGCTTTTGTGTTCCAGCTGTGGCTAGAACCTAGGACCTTACCTGTGCTAGGCAAGCATTCTGTCACTGACTTCCAGCCCCAGTGTTTTGTCCTGGGCTTGTACTCTCGGCCTGGGCGCTGTCCCTCAGCTCTTTAGCTCAAGGCTAACTCTTTACCACTTCAGCCACAACGCCACTTCCGGTTTTCTGAGTAATTTCTTATTGGAGATAAGAAAGCTAGCCCTGCTTGGGCTGGCTTTGAACCATGATCCTCAGATCTCAGCCTCCTGAGTAGCTAGGGTTACAGGCATGAGCCACCAGCGCCCGGCCTGTCCTGAACCCTTTAAAACATGTCTATGCATTTCTCTAGCTCTAGAGAACTCTAGCTCTGTAGTTTAAAGAAAGATGGTGCACTTGTCTGTCTCCTGTTTTGTAAGAGAGTATCATATATATAGGGGGGACAGGGAGAGAAAATATATTAGCATTACATATATTATTGAATTTGGAATTATTGTATTTCTAATTGCCCAGAGGCCATCACAGGAAACATTTTGCTTTCTTTCCATACTTGAATCAGGCTGTGTAGTTTTTTTATATGGGTGTTTTCACCGACTGTTTACTTTTTTGTTGTTTCGATTATTGGTTGTGGGGCTTGAACTTGGCCTGGGCGCTGTCCCTGAGCTCTTCAGCTCAAGGCAAGCGCTCTACCACTTGAGCCACAGTACCACTTCTGGTTTTCTGGTGGTTAATTGGAGATAAATGTCTCATGGATTTTCCTGCCCAGGCTGGCTTTGAACCATGATCCTCAGATCTCAACTTCTTGAGTAGCTAGGATTACAGGCGTGAGCCACTGGCATCCAGCTTACTTTTCATTCTTTTCTGAGCAGGTTCTTGCTTTTTCCTGGGCTCACTTTGGACCATGAGCCTCCTGTTTACACTTCCTCCTATGTAGCTAGGGTGGCAAGTGTGCCCTACTTTTTTTTTTTTTGGTCAGTCATAGAGCTTGAGCTCAGGGTCTGGACGCTGTCTCTGAGCTATTTCGCTGAAGGATAATCCTCTACCACTTTGAGCTACAGTGTTACTTCTGGTTTTTTGGTAGTTAATTGGTGATGAGTCTCACAGACATTCCTCCCTGGGCTGGCTTTGAACCACAGTCCTCAGATCACAGCTTCCAGAGTAGCTAGGTTTATAGGTGTGAGCCACTGGCACCCAGCCCTACTAATTTTTTATTGGTTGAGATGAGGATCTCATGAACTTTTTGCCTAAGCTTGATTTGAACCATGATTCTCCCAATTTCAGTCTCCTTAGTAGTTATGAACTTTTGTAATTTGAAGTCAGAGCCTTATTCTTCTCAGCTGGACTATGTCTACTTGAAGTATGTCTCTAGCCCTGCGCTTCGCTGGTTATCTTTTCTACCTGGGCTAGCCTCAAACTACCATCTTTAGATCTCAGTCTAAGCCCCTGGTAGTCTCAGCCCCTGGTAAAAACCTGTGTATTTCTCCAAGAAGAGAATATGTAATAAAGTATTAAATTTTTGGTCTTAACTACTCTTGTTTCTGAAATTGTACAAACAGTATATTGTAACTGTTAACAGTTCCTAAACTTATAAACTCATGTATTCAGAAGCTAAATATGAAGAACATAAAATTAATTTGCCTTGCTCTCCATTCATTACCCTTTGTTTCTCTCAGTACATGATTTCTGTAAAGAAGGCACTGCTGTTCTCTAAATGCCTTTGGTGGTGATGTTTACCATTGTGTTTGGAGGAAGAACCCTGTTACCCAGAAATGCCCAGTGCTCAGTAGTTTCTTTGTTTGCAAATGTCTTTTTTTTTTTTTAGTATACTTTAGACTGTTCCAAAGATAGTTACTTGACTCATTTACGATTGCTTTTATGTTATGTGTCCGTGTTCAGGGGTAACCCTGTGTGCTAAGCCACCTCCTCTGCCCTCATTTAGAAAATTTTACATTGTCTCCTCTTACAAACTATTTAATTTCACAGTTTTTGTCAGGGGGTGGGGCTTAGCATTCCTGTGTACTTCAGTCCTGTTTATAAATGTTCCAGGGAGATAAGGGGGGTAAAAGATTTTCTTGTGTTTTTCTTTGAGACAGGGACTTGTTACATACCCCAGGCTGTCTTTGAACTCAAGATCTTCCTGCCTCAGCCTCCTGAGTGCTGGGATTATACATGTGTGCTACCATGCTTGACTGAGATTTTTTTTCTTTTAATAGTACTGGGGTTTGAACTCAGAGCTTTGTTTGAGTTTGTCATGCAGACTCTCTACCGTGCCCTTCTTGCTTTTCACATAAGGTTTCATATTTGTGCCTGTGTAGAGCTTGGAATCACTTCTACCTCTGCTTCCTGTCATTGAGATGCTGTGGCTTGTCTGTCACATTCATAAGTGAATGGGAACAAAGGTCTTCTAAAACCATGTGTTTCGTCTTGCAGCTTGGCTTGCCCTTCCCCTGCTTGTGCCGTGTGCCCTGCAACACTATGTTTGGATCACAGCATCAGATGGTAAGTTGTCCTTTGGTTTATATGATGAGATGGAGCTTCTGTTTGCTGACCTCCAGGTAGTTAGTAGTAGCTTATTTATTACTTCAATCTTTCCTTTGTGTAATGTGTATTGCTGCGTTGTGTCCAGGAAGGTTGGCCAGTATAGGTCAGGACCTCCAGGGTCTTTTTTTGGGTCAGTACTGGGATTTGAACTCAGGTCCTTGCAGCTGCTAGACAGACAGGTGTAGTACCACTTAAGCCACATCCTTAGCCCTGGCACCTTGCTCTTAAAGGATCTTTTATTTATTTTGGTGGTACTGGGGTTTGAGTACAGTGAAACTCAGCTTTGCACTGGCTAGGCAGATGTTCTCCTGAGCCATCCGTCCAGCCCTTTTTACCCTGGTTAGGATAGGATAAGATCTTGGTTTTTGCCCTGGTGGGCCTGCACTACAATCCTCCTAGTTATATTTCCTGCTGTATAGCTGTGTTGTGTTGAGATGGGCTGGCATGGAACTGTAGTTCTTCTGATCTCACATAGCTAGGATAACAGGCACGTGCCACCACAGCTGGTTGAGATGGGGTCTTGCAAATATTTTGCTTGGGTGGCCTTGAACCATGATCCAGAGTACCTTCAGAGTAGCTAAGATTACAGGATGAGCCACTCTATTCTAAAAAATCTTGTAACCACTTTATCACGTTCTTTGAAGTGTTTTTGGTGCTAGAAATTGTGAACACTGGACCTGATGCATACTAAGTACACACTTTACCCAACTGTGTTGCCTGTCTTAAGTAGAAATATGGTAGCTCAGATCAGTGCCAAAACTTCCTTCTAAAGCCTATGGTCGAAGTTGTCACTGCGGGGGCGTGTCCGGGTCTTTGTATCTTGCTGCATAGCTCATGCTGGCTGCTTACTCAGGGTCCTTGGCACCCTGTATGGGAATGGGTAGGTTTTGAAAATGGGATCCTTCTTTGCATATTGGGGTTAAGTTCAATTATCTTAGACATGCAGGTGATAAACCTCTTAGGCTAGTAGGAAGAGGATCAATCTTTGGATTCTGCAACGTGGCTCAACTTTTAACTCGGGTATACCAGTAAGTAGCTGCTCTCTCATCCATCTTTTGAGGGAGGTACAAGATTTTCTCTAAATGCATATATTTAAAAATAGAGAAGTGTTGATTCCGAATATGAGCACTTTTTGCCTCATTTTGCTGTTTTTTCTAATTAAGTTTGAAGGGAAACTATTTGGTTTTGACATCTATGATTAGAGGAAACAATTTATCAAGAGTAAGACTTGTTTGAGTGTTTAACTTTGAGAGTCATCTGTGATACTTTTGGAAGTCATAATTTTTCTTTTCAATCTAAAAGTGATTTTATTTTTCTAAACTTTGTTAGCATACAGTAGTTGAATAGGATTTCATTTCTGCACATGTATACAATGTACCTCATAAATTCACCCCTTCTATCACTCACCCCCCATCCTCCCTTCTAAAACAAATTTCAACAGGCTTACTGTTCCGTTTTCATACATGCAAGTAAAGCACTTCAGCCACATCCGCCCTCCCACTGTCACTCATCCCAGAAGTCGTAACTTTGCAGTGTGCACCTTTCATGTTGGTCATCTCATATTTTTGTGGTCCTAGGATGTTGCCTTTCTGGAGAAATTGATTAAAGACGATATAGAACGTGGAAGGCTGCCCCTGCTGCTTGTGGCAAATGCTGGTATGTATCATAAAACCCAGTCTTTGACTTTGGAAATCTAGGTGAGAAACTTAGCCTGAAAAGACCAACTAACTCTTAAGGGCTGGGAAGGTGGCTCAGTGGTAGAGTGCTTGCCTTGCATGCATGAGGCCCTGGGTTTGATTCGTCAACACTACATAAGCAGAAAAAGCCAGGAGTGGTACTGTGGCTCAAGTGGTAGAGCACTAGCCATGAACTGAAGAGCAGAGGGGCAGCGCCCAGGCCCAGAGTTCAGACCCCACAACCAAAAAAAAAAAACAAAAAAACACCAACTCTTAAAAAAACTCAGTGCTGGTGGCTCATGCCTATAATTGTAGCTACTCTGGAGGCTGAGGATAGCCGTTTGAAACCAACCTGGGCAGGAAAATCTGTGAGACTCTTAACTCCAATTAATCATTGGAAAATGGGAAGTAAGGCTGTGATTCAAGCGGTAAAGCACTAGCCAGCAGTTTAACCCCCCAGGACTGGGAAAAGAAATGAAAAGTAGTAGTAAATTATCTTTATAGGTGGCATGATTGTATAGCTATCATGTCTTATGGAAACTAGAGAAAAGTTGCTGGAATGAATTAATGCACTAAGAAAATGTGAGTGTACAAGAGCTTTAGAAGATGCTTAACATCAGTAGTGGTCATTAGGAAAATTCAAGTTAAGCCAGGCATGGTGGTACACACCTATAATCCCAGCTACTCAGCTACTCAGTAAGCAGAGATAGGAGGGTCCTAAGTTCCAGGCCAGCCCAAGCAAAGTTATTAAGACATTTTTTTCAGAAACAAAAATATAAAAGGGTTCAGGGCCTGGCTCAAGCTGCAAAACACTGGCCTAGCATGCATGAAATCCTAGATTCAATTCCCAGTGGAGTTTAGCCAGGGGTGATGGTGTAGTACCTACCTGTAATTCTAGCACCGACAGAGGCATGAAGATTGAGAGTTTGAGGCTAGCCTAGACTACACTGAGAGGGCTGCGGGTGTAGCTCAGGGGTGGGGCAGTTGATGCCAGTCCTCAGCATCCCATGAAAAAGCAGTGAGATGACGTTAAAATTTAAAAAAAAAAAAGGGCCAAATGCTGGTGAGCTGTTGTGTGACTGGTGGGGACACCAAGCAGTACAGCCACGCGAGAGGACAGCTTGGCGCTTCCTTACAAGGCTTCCATATTTACCACCGCGCCACCCCTCAGTCCCATTACTTGGTATTTACCAAAGAGAATTGAAAATGTCCCTCCATACCAAGAACTCATAAGTGTTCGGGTGTCCATTGGCTGGTGCAGACCTGCTGCGGAGACTAAGCAGGGACAGGCATGTCCACTGGGAAGAAGCCACAGAAAGGTCTGTGATCTGTGCTTCCATGGACAAATTGTACTGAGTGACAGAACAGGCTGGGGCTGTGGGGCTGCACGGAGCTGAGGCCGCCGTGGGGACAAGGACGCTTCCAGGAAGTAGAGAACTACACGTCCTGAACCACACGTGTATGCCCGTGGGTTTTGTTGCATATGAATTGCACTGTAATAAAGCAGTTCATTTCACAAAATATTTAAATGCAACAGGAAAACCACTACTTCCTGCCTGACTTCTTGTATGTTTAAAAGAAACAGATCTACCCATGTTTAGTCACTTGATAGACTCAGGGATTTTTTTTTTTTTTTTTTTTGGCTTATAACATTTGCTCCTTTGAATAGCTTTTCTTGTTTGGGTTATCATAGGAACAGCTGCAGTTGGACACACAGACAAGATTGGGCGATTGAGAGAGCTCTGTGAGCAGTATGGCATATGGCTTCACGTGGAAGGGTAGGTAGAGGCGAGGTCCCTAGAAAGAGGGGACAGCCAGCCCCACTGCAGTGACAGTCATCCCCAAAGGTTCTTAGAGCAAGGTAATAAAATAACAAATTGGCTGAAACAGATCTTACTGGTTCACATAACTAAAAAGACCAGTGCTTAACTGGCTTCCGCAGTCATTCTGTCAACAGAATTGTCTGCTTCCATCCCAAAGCCTCAAAAAAAGTCCCAGGAGCAGTTGCCGCCAGTGTGTCCAGGCCGAGGCCTGCTATCTTGCCTCCAGAAGGACAAATGGGAGCTGTGGCTGGAGGACACAGCATATGGGGTGCAGTGTCTTAAGCAGACAGGGACACCCTGACACATGTCCCGGTTCAAGTGAGTCTGCAAGGGTTTCTTGTCTTTGTAAAGTCCACACCTCCCGCGGCTGGAGTGAGAGCCAATGACGGGGCTGTCACCCCACAGCAGCGCAGCTGGGCGTAAGTTTTGGACAGCACATACTTAGTGAAGAAGAAACAGTGAGTAATTAGTTCTCAGATTGGTGTTTTCTCCTCCAGGGTGAATCTGGCAACACTGGCTCTCGGTTATGTCTCCTCGTCAGTGCTGGTATGTTGTAGGTTTTCACCAAATACTTTACGGCAGGGTGTGGGGAGTGGGTTTAGTGTACTCTCATCATGTGGTGACAAGTTGTTCTCCTGTGGGTAGGCTGCAACCAAATGCCACAGCATGACGCTGACCCCGGGCCCCTGGCTGGGACTGCCCGCTGTCCCCGCAGTGACGCTGTACAAGCACGATGACCCTGCCCTGGTGAGCTGCCTGCCCGGCTGGGGCGGGACGGGGGCGGGGAGGGAACATTCACTACAGAACAGCCAGACGGAGTCTGCTTTCCTTCATTTCATTCATGACATGAATCCATACTATTTTTTTTTTTTTGGTTTATTCATCATAGGTTTATTCCCTATGTGTGTAAAGGACTTTCAGGCCAGTGTATAGCTGTATCATATTCCATCACTCAAGTATCACTCGTGTTTAGTCATGGCCATTTGTGAACTTTAAGGATATTTTCAAGTTTCTATAATAGAGGTTTGAATGAATGTCTTTTTACTTTGCAAATTATTTCTTAAAAATAGGTTCTCCAGGAAGTGGCGCTGTGGCTCAAGTGGTAAAACACTAGCCTTGAGCTGAAGAGCTCAGGGACAGTGCCCAGTCCTAGAGTTTAAGCCCCACAACCAACAAAAAATAGAAAATGAACTCCAGGAAAAATAGGTTCTCCAAAGTGAAATTCCCGGCTTGTCACGGCTACTAAAGCCTATAATCCAAGCTGGTTGGGAGGCAGAGATCAGAGGATCCTGGTTTGAGGCTAGCCTGGGCTAAACCATTCATGAGACTCCACCTCCACAAGCAGCTGGGTGTGGTGTCCCGTGCCTGTTAACCCTGCTGCTGGGGAAGCACAAGTAGAAGGATCACATGCCAAGCCAGCCTGAACATAAAGCCACACTCTTCCTTGATCACAATGCCAAAAGGGATAGGAGGCCTGGCCCAAGTGAAAGAGCACCTGCCTCACAAGCTCAAGGTCTTGAGTTCAATAGGCTTCTAATCCACATTTTCTAAGAGGTTGCAATGGTTTTCTTTTTCTTTTTCTTTTTTTTTTTTTTTTTGTGAGTTGACTTAAAACATTTTTAGAAAAC